ACGTACAAAATCAGCAGGGGATCAAAAACTTTTTCCCTCACTGTATATATATATTTTTTTTATACTTGAAGGAGTTTTAAAATTCAAAATCAAGTAGCTAAATGATCCTTGGTATGACCTTCTTAAAACAGTTCCATATAGCTTAGTAGAACCCCCCACACCCATCTTACACAGGGCGTAGACTGTTATGGGTTCAATTGAATTAATGTCAAATATGCCTTTTAAAGTAAAATGTCATGGTATCACATGTTGACATTTTGCATCCCCATGTCACATTTATTTCACATTCATTTCACATGAGATCATGTTCTCCCATGTGCTGAGATGTCACAAGTATAGTTTTACGTTATCACATTTTGCTTCACATGCTTATTACATTTTCACATTACATCACGTGTGATCACAAGAGATCACAACAGATTACACAAGATCACGTTTTCACATGTGAAATTCATTTTTTTTCCATAAGGGTTGTCCGGAAGGACCCGTACTGATCCAAACGTGACTGCTGTTGTAGAGAGAGGGAGAAAAATTATATAAGTTATGCTGCTGCACTTGCTTTTCATGAGAGTGGCGCGTATAGCTTGTTGTTGTTGTTGTTAGCCAATCATAAGTCATCAAAGCGGCAACAGGCTACAGTAATAGAGCCTCCGAGTGGGGCAAAAGTTAGGAAATATCTAATCAATGGAAGATGGAATTAAAATGATGGAATTAAAAGTTAAAGGAGAAGGATAGGCTACAACGACCAAGAGCCAACAGGTAGGCTGCTACTTAGTATTCTAAATGTTTTTGTTGTTTTTAACTGTGTAGAACGAGAAAGCACATGTAGCCTCAATTAGCTTAGCTAGCTAGCTTAACTAGCTTCTCCCGGTTTTATGCAGTCAAGACAGGTTCTACGTAATCATATTGGATGATAAATAACCTAGCTTAGGCAGCTGATAGTCTACCAAACCTTATTTTTTAGGTATTGTTAGATTAATTTGTATTTTAAGAATAATGACTAAAGGATTTCACCCCAAATACAGTATAAATGTGTGAACGGTGTTAGAGTTATAATGTAGTGGCAACCCACTAACAGAGGGGGGCGGGACTAAACATTCCAGGGTGAAGGGGACTGAGAAAACAGGTAAAAAAAAAGCCTCCTAAAGGTGGGCGGAGCAAAGTGCCTTTGTGTGTCAAGGGGTATAAAACAGTATGGGTTTTTGGCGCCAGAGCTCTCCATGAAAAAAATACAGATCATTCTTGCTGGTTGTGGACCTTGAATCTTTTATGATTAAAACCAGAGCCTTACAACCTCTGGTAATGATTCAAGCTTAGGTTGAATTAGAGATAGAAATTCTCGTGACAGGTATTCTTTCTTAAAACTGCATTGTTGGTTAAGGGCTTGTAAGCATTTCACTGTAAGGTGTTGTATTCGGCGCATGTGACAAATAACATTTGATTTGATTTGATAGCGTGAGTCGGCATGGTTGGTTGCTGTCTCTTGTCTCTCCGTGTCACTCGCTCACACTCACAGTAGACTACACACACAGCACGGCCCCTGCTAGAGCCTCACCTCTCTCTACCTCCTCTCCCTCGTGCTTTATCAACTCTGGTTAATAAAGTAGCTTAAAATGGACTTTTCTGCTGCTTCTCTCACTCGGATTGGACTGGGTCTGGATCCAACCAGGTCTAAACTGAACGGTCTAGTTGTCCTCGGGTCCGTTCGGAACGGGTCTCTAAATTTAAAAAATGTATTTATGCATGTTTCGGAACAGGTCCTACTTTTTGGACCAGTGAAGGCCTCTAGCGTGCGTGTGTGTCTGTGGACCACACAGTCCTCTCCTCTCCCTCTCTGCAGAGGGTCCCGTTCCCTGGCCCCTAGACCTTACATAGTCATAAAGGGAGACAATTACAAACACAGCCTCAAAGCCCCAGGTAATGGAGCTGTTGCTTCCTGCCGTGTAGTGATAAGCAGGAGTTGCTGTGAAAGTGAGAGAACTCTCTGCCATGTCTTCCCTATGGGGCAGCAGCCATTTTGGTTCCAATCAGAGCCCGACAGAACAGAGACGCTGGGCCTGTAATTAAGCTGCTGCTAGGATGAGAGGAACATCATCAGTGGACCAGGAAACCACTGGAGGTCTGGGTTAAGTATGTGGTCAAAGCTATTCTCTGCTCTGGCACCCCAATGGTGGAAAAAGCTCCCCCACGACGCCAGGACTGCAGAGTCACTGACCACCTTCCGGAGACACTTGAAACCCAACCTCTTTATGGAATACCTGGAATAGTATAAAGTAATCCTTCTTCCCCCACCCCCCATTAAAAAAAAAAAAAAAAAGTGGTTGTCCCACTGGCTATCATAAGTTGAATGCACCAATTTGTAAGTCGCTCTGGATAAGAGCGTCTGCTAAATTATGTAAATGTAAATGGTGGGAGCCCACACACAGACAGACAGGCAGACATACAGACAGACACACACACACATACTGATAGAGACACAGAGGGACAGGGGGAAGGAGAGAGCCAGAGGCTGATGGAAGAGAAGAGAAAGGAGAAAGAAGAGAAGAGAAGTGAAGAAGAAGAAGAAGAAGAAGAAGAAGAAGAAGAAGAAGAAGAAGAAGAAGAAGAAGAAGAAGAAGAAGAAGAAGAAGAAGAAGAAGAAGAAGAAGAAGAAGAAGAAGAAGAAGAAGAGAAAGGATCATTTCGATGAAGAGAAGAACAAGTGAACCAGAGCACACAAACATAGTGTAGCCTGTTTACATATTTACAACAAACAAAAATCCACCCTGTTGTCTCTCCCCACAGTCTATAAGGCAATGGAGGCAATGGAGAACAACAAAGGCAAACACATCCAACACTATTTAACATGAGGGCATCAACCACCCCCTCAGTCTTTGAACACCCCTACCTACCCCCCTACTCTCTGTGATTGAGATGATCCTGGTGTCTGCTGGGAACAAAGAGCCACTTACCCTGGTTAACACATTCAACACATTCACACAACACACGTAGGCTCACAGTCATAACAAACAGCATGCTATCTGTCACTAAGAGAACATAGCCAAGGGATGGGGGAGCGTGTGTTGTGTTGTTGTCTGCGTTCCAAATGAAAACAAACACAGGCAAGGACACACACACACATGCATGCACACGCAAACACACTCACACACGCACACACAGCCTCTGAGTCATTTGGAAAAAGGCTCAGAGACATGCTTCTACCTCCAGGCCATCAGACTGTTGAACAGCTAACCCTAGCTCGACCAAGACACTATCCACTTTATATTGGAAATACAGTCATACTTGACATGCACATTCATAATTTATATTGCACTCTTAAGAAAAAAAGGTGCTAAGTAGAACCATATAGGGTTTTTTGGTTTGTCCCCATAGGGGAACCCTTTTTGGTGCTAGGTTAGGAACCCTTTTTGGTTCTATGCAGGGTTCTTCATATAACGCCCTGTAAATGATTTTACATAGAACCCTCTATGAATAGTTCTTCTTAGAAGCATCTACGAAGGTTCTAACAAGAACCCTTTTAACCACTAACTAGTGTTGTTAGGAAACTCCTGTTTCACAGGCCACATCAGGCCTGCAAGTCACATTATGCTGGCTGGCAGAGTGATATGTAATTCCTATTGGAATCCAGCCAAAGTGAGGATGTCCACAATTGGACATTCTTTATCACCTGCAAACTGCATTCAGAATGACTGCCAAGGTAGGGAAGATAGGCTAATGGGAACACCCAAATAATCAAAACTCAAACAACCATCTCAGTAAGGGTTGCAATAAGTCCAACTACTAAGAGATTGGATTAGTTTAGAAAAATCATGTTATTTATCTTTGTGTAGCATAAGATTCATCAAACAATCAATGTAAATGCAAAAACACAGATTGCAACAAACAATTCTGAAAATCTACCTGCAATAGAGCATGTGCGTGTGTGTTTGTGTGTGTGTGTGTATGCATGCTGTGTGATTGCATGCACATGCTTGTGTGCATGTGTGCATGTAGGGCCAGATCTCTGTCTCTCTAATGACGTGTGTGGAGCCTGTCTCCAGAGAGGGCCAAGTTAATGACAGTCCTCTCCCCAGGCCCCGCTGCTCTGAGGGGGGAACCAAAGTCCCCCTTCACCCAGGGCCGGGGGTTGAGGGGTAACTCATTATTCATTATGCGCACTCACAAGAAAGGACATGACACTGTCTGTCACAAAGTCATACTGTAGAACCCTTTAATTGAAGGTTCAATAAATAACAATACTCATAAGGTTCTAAATAGAACCAGTATGGTGCTATAAAGAACCCTTTCCTAAGGTTCTATAAAGAACCATTAAAAAAGGTTCTATATAGCACCAAACAGTGTTCCACTATGGTTACAACCCTTTTAGGGGCTATATAGAACCCTTTTGTATGGTTCTTTATAGAACCTTTATGGATAATGGTTCCATAAAGAACCTTTCCCAATCTGAAAGGTTCTTTGTAGATCCTTTTGAATAATTTTTTTGTAGATTCTGGTCACCCATATTATATTATTCAAATACCATCGGTGTTATTGTGTTAATTGACAAGTTGAATCAACTGCTAGAAGAGCTGTGGGTCCCCAAGGAGAGTATTGAGAACCACTCACTGATTTAGTCAAGCTGTCTCAATTCACACAAAACCATACATGAGTCTATCACAAGACACCATCACTAGTCATAGTCACCACATGTAATGGCATAACACAACACATTAAATAAACTGGAATGACACTCTAACTCACGTTGCACAAAAAGAGCTGTGTGCAAACCATGCCCCAAAATATTCTAATGAACCGAATGTATGAACATTCTTATCATACAGCCATGAAGATGGCACTGTTCATCCATACAGTCTGAGGTTCATGCACTGTACTGTAAGTGGGGGTATTACAGATTTGTATATGATTATATGATGTACAGTATCATAATAGTAGGTGCATAGTAGTATTTTATACACACGTGCACACATTTCACACCCACACCAACACAATGTTGTGCTGTTTTACCTGAGAGTGAAGGTGTGCTGGGGAGCGAGGCCTGGCTGGTGGACAAGTCCAGGTTGGGGTGAAAGGTCAGCTGACAGGGTGGTTCCAGATCCTTCCAGAAGCACAGTGACACTGTGAGGGAGGAGGCACTGGGCCTCGGCCGTGAAGGTCAGGGAGAGGAGCTGGCCGTAGCTCAGGAGATGGTTCCCCAGGAACTTCTCTACAGGAGCAGAGAGAGGGGGGAGGGAGGGAGACAGACAGACAAAAAGGGTTAGAGGATAACCAGGCAGGCTTTTAGCTATCTCACATCCTGTCAAAGAGAGAGAGAGAGAGAGAGCGCGAGAGAGAGAAAGAGAGAGAGAGAGTGCGAGAGAGAGAGAGAGAGAGAGAGAGAGAGAGAGAGAGAGAGAGAGAGAGAGAGAGAGAGAGAGAGAGAGAGAGAGAGAGAGAGAGAGAGAGAGTGTTTGTGTGTTTCACAAGTTTAGCTTCTCGCCATCTGACGAACATGTTGTAAGGGGTAGTAGTTTGGTATGAGAGTTTTGGCGTTTGGTGTTTATGAGAGAGAGAGTGTGTGCGTGTGTGTGTGTAGTAGAGTGCGAAGGCCAAGGCTCTTGTAGCTCACAGAGATCACAGTGGTAGTCTGGCTGTAATTACCCTTCATTTTATCTCTGGCACATTACAGCATATTAACACCACTTCAAAGAACTACACACACACACGCACACGCATGCACAGGCACACACTCTCCAAACCAGCACACTTACTGCATACACAATGATCAGCAACCAGGGAACCCAAATACACTTGAATAAAAAGAACACATGGGAAAAACTATCCCTGAAAAAAAATAAAAATAAAATAATGAATTCTGGGTGGGTGAGGCGGAGGATGCAGAAGATCCTGTCTGCAGAAATATGTAAAAATGAAGCAATGAGATAGATAAGGAAAGGTGGACTGGCATTTCATCATTCAAGATTGATTGCAGCAATAAAAACAGTAATCCACCTTAAAAAAGGCAGACATTTTTCAGTAAGGCAATTCAAAACAGCATAATCTGCCACAGTATGAATGATACTGCAGCAGACCTGGGTCTCTATTCAATCTGCATCGCTGAAGAGTTACAGATTGCGCGATAGAAATGTAAAGGTAATTTCCAATTGAATCAACATATGCAGCGTTTACCGTGAATGCAGTCTCCACTACCACGCTAACATTGCCTTTAAATGTCAGTCACGCTGTAACGCTGAACTTCCGCGATACGGATTGAATATAGCCCCTTGATTCAAATACTATTTGACATTTTTCAAATGCTTTGAGCATTTGCTTTAGCCTCCCTGGAGGTTGACTGGGCTTGCACTTTTGGGACTTTTATATTGGTTCAATTAAATAGTATTTTAACCCAGGTCTGTGCTTCAGTAGTGCAGCCTCCACTGTTAGTCTGTGTGGCTGGCTGGCTGAGGTAGTGCGTTTTGAGTGTAAGGGTGTGTGTCATGTATCCTGGTCTCTCCTGGTGGTGTCAGGGCTGCAGTGGACACACACACACAGCTGTCCGCTCTCCTCACAGTCACATCTGATCTGATCCAGGACAAGCCCTTATCACCCCCACCACGCCGGATGACTGCTCTCTGGGCAGATTTGTCATGTTTTCGCCTGACCTGCCCCAGGTTGACGTACTGGGTATATGGGCTGATGTGCTTTTGGTCGACTTGCTCTGACCCTATTGTCTGACAAGCGGTACATTTTTGCTTTGGATATTCAAGAGGTGATTCACGTGGTACCCTTAAAATCTATGTCAGACCTGCGTCAGGGACACTCAATCCCAAATCAACCCATAAGCACTTGCGTATATCTAAGAGGTTTGAGTAAGTGAGTAATATGGTGTAGCTTCCACCTAACCTCTCAGATGGCATGGTGTAGATACTGCCATATTGCTTATACTCATCCAGTCCTCTCAGATCTACATAAGTCCCCATGGGGGTTTGATGGTGGGATCAGGCAGGAAAATGTCTCACAGGATGAAAGACTCAGCACTGCCCCCTCTGGTTGGTCCTCTAGTGTCTTATTATGACTCACCCCCAGAACCCCACTGGGTGACTGGAACTCTCACTGTGATCACATCAAGATGGCATTCTACCATTAAAATATATTTTATATTCATTGCTTTAGCACAGGAGAGTAATTGAAAAGAGACAACAGCTCTAAATGTGGACCTCTGTGTGAGTCAAAGAATGACAGTGTTTCTGATTGCACTCAGAGAGGATGTGCGTGAAAGCAGTGAGTGTGTGTGTTTATTTGTGTGTGTATGTTTGAGTGTGTGTGTGTTTTAGATCAATCCTTCACTTTCTTTTCTCTGTGTGTCTGTGATGTGTTCAACCTGAACCCCACTGACCTCCTTTCAGTGACACACAAAGTCCCCGTCACGATGCCTGACACCCCAGTCACATTTAGTGAATGGTAGAGGAGCCCTGAGATCAATCGAGGGTTTAGACTCTCCAAACCAATTAAATAAACTCCATTTCAATTAGATAACCGCCGTCTCACACAAACAACTTTAAGTCCCATGGAGGCCTCTAACTTACATCGACCACTGTGCAGCAATACCTGAACAGACAAATAACTTCACCAAGCAGGGAGAAGAGAGACGGAGAGGAGAGAGAGAGAGAGATAGAGAGAGAGAGATAGAGAGAGAGAGAGAGATCGGAAGAGAGAGAGAGAAGATAGGAGAGAGAAGAGAGAGAGAGAGCGGGAGAGAGAGATATGATGAGATAGAGAGAGAGAGAGAGAGAGAGCGAAGAGAGCGATGGATAGAGAGAGAGCTTAATAAGCTCTACTCGATATTCTTCTCTCTCTATCTCTCTCTTTCTGCTCTCTCTTTCTCGCTCTCTCTCGGCGGGAAGAGCTAGCGATCCTCAGTTATCTGAGAGAGAGAGAGAGAGAGAATCCAGTAACCTGCTCTACATAGTCTGTAGCAGCGGTTCCCAACTCCAGTCCTCCATTACCCCCAACAACACACATTTTTGTTGTAGCCCTGGACAAACAACACCTGATTCAACTCATTGAGGGCCAAATGATTAGTTGACAAGTTCAATCAGGTGTGCTTGCCCAGGGCTACGATAAAAATGTGTGCTGTTGGAGATACTCAATGACTGGAGTTGGGAACCACTGGTCTACAGGTGCAGCACAGCCAGGGACATGATTACATGGAGAACAGGCAGAAAGGCTAGACCACCTGGTACACAGAGACATTCAGGATCTATTAGACCATGCTACACCCTAGTAACACATACAACGTTAGCTTTAAAAAATAATAGAGTCTGAAATGGTCATGTAAAGCTAAATCAGAGTGAGCTGAGTCAGTGATGTTGTTAGGCGGTGATCAGAGAGGTGGTTTCTCTTGAACGTTCTTGACTCCAATCAGGGATCAGGGATCTTGAACGTTATGGGACTCATATCCAATCAGGGTGAAGGTTAGTACTGAACGTTCTGGGGCTCACATCCAATCATGGATCAGGGTGGTGGTTTGTCCTGAACGTGCTCGGACTCACATCCAATCAGGGATCAGGTTTTTGCTTATCCTGAAAGTTATAGGGCTCACATCCAATCAGGGATCAGGGTGGTGGTTTGTCCTGAAATGTATGGGGCTCACCTCCAATCAGGGATCAGGGTGCTGGTTTGTTCTGAAAGTTCTGGGGCTCACATCCAATCAGGGATCACGGTGGTACTTCTATGGCTCACATCCAGCCCAGAGGCAGCCTGTCCAGGAAGCTTGGCAGGAATATCACTGCAGAGGACGTATGCTGAAAACTGTCCCTCTCTCTTTTTCTCTCCCTCGTCCTTTTGTGCTGTCCCTTCCTCTCTTGGGGACATCCCCCCTTGGTTTTCTGGGTTAGCAGCATGGTCTGGTGTAGATATGAATATGATCCTGGACCATGTCAGGCACTAAGGCACAGGTGGCTGGTTCTGGATGAGGGGTGTTAGCTACCTGTTGGACCCTTGAGCATAGAGGATTGGAGAGGAGAAGCATGTAACCTGAATTGCCATGTCAGTAATTAGCAGGGCTGTAGAGGAAAGTGGTTTTGGCTTGGAATCCATGATAGACTCTGGCAGCTTCACTCAAGTGTTCAATCTGTTGACAAGTGCTGTGTCATCGTAGGAACGTGACCTTTCTACTATGTCTCAACTAGTAGCAATCTTTTCTTGGCCAAGAGGAAGAGGACAAGTGTGGTGTTAAATTAAATGGAAAGAGGACCATGTAATCACAAACGCGCTCTTTCTTTTTCTCTCTCACTTTCGGTTTTCACTTTCGCTTTCACTCTCTGTAACTCCCTCTCAGCCTTCTCTGTCTCTTTGAAAGACTCCAGCTGAACTTCCCTGGATAATGCTCTGAGTGATCCAAGCTGAGTTTCCTCCATTGTATATCGAGGATTGTGTTCCTTGGCACTGCAGTGTCACCTGGTACTTCTAGAAGCCGGGTAGAAACACGTCGATCCCCAATACTTCTCTCTGTTCTCATTACAGTAAGACGCCAACTGATCTGATTCTAGACATAGCCAGGCGAAGAAAGAGACACACTGAAATAGGCGACAAATAGATTAATAAGAATCAGAGAAATTGCTTTCCCTCTCCGTGTTGTTTGGTAGCAGAGCATTGTCACTCAGAATTATCTGGCGCTTTAACGGGAAACGCTGCAGGAGGATTACAGCACAAACAGAGAGAGGGAGAGAGAGAAAGAGAGAGAGAAATCCTGTGCATATCCTTGCAGCCTGCCTCTCTGCTCTAATCTTTAAAGTAACTGAGGAAAAAAATAGTCAGGGAGAAAATGAGGTCATTTAAAGCGACGGCGGGGCAATAGATCTCCATATTTTACTACACTGCGAAACAAGTGCTGTGCCGGCAAGATAAGGGGACGGGCTTGAACACAAATCACTATGTGGTGGCCTGCAGAGACACTGGAGTGATGGACGAGCTTCAAGAAAACAGAAAACTAAACATATAAATAAATAAACAATCTAAACACATCCAAGTTGACTTAACGACATATAAGGAACTCTAAAAATATCCCCAGAACGGACCCAGTTGTTTTCCCTCCCAGGAGTCTTCTGTGATCTAAGGCTTTTCATGCTTGGGTTCTTAAAAAGACGCCTGTCTAAATGAACTTGTTTTTTGTGATCAGACGGTTTGAACATACAACCTTCAGGGTGTGTTGGTAGTTAATGGGATTTCCACTATTTCTGCTTCTCTATATCCCTGTTGACTGTTGCTTCGCTAGGCTTGGTCCTTGGTGCAGTGAGTGGCCACCTTGAGCTTAGGAAGGCTGATTTCCACTTTGTTGTTCTTCCAGCATGGCCAAGACATCCAATTCCATCAGGCCTATTCTCTCCTACTGTGGCTCCAGATATATAGGCTATGTCCCAGATGGCAAACTATTCCCTATTTAGTGTACGACCTTTGACCAGGGCCCATAGAGAATAGGGTGACATTTGGGATGCAACCATAGAGGGAGCCCCTAAGTCCTGTAGCGGGGCCAGCTATAAATCGTATATGCTAATGATCATGATAAGAGTCTGCTGTGAGAAAATGGTGTCGCAGTTAACTGCTTTATGACCTTATGGGGCAATGCTATGGGGAATTGTTTAATCAAACAAAGGAATTATCTTGAGCAGCAAGCCAGGGGTATTACAGGTGGCAGACGGTAATATGATTGACATATTCACATGTCTGAGCTCTCTCCAAGCACAATCTTCATGTATTTGTTCCTCATCCCGGAAACGCACACACTTCTCCTATAAACTCTAGGGCCCAGAGTTTTTCTTGGTCATGTATTATGGTCTGGAAAAACTCTAGGTCCTACTTATATCTCACCTTACAGTTGACATTAGCTCTGTGTGTGTGTGTGTGTGTGTTCGGCTGTGTCTCTCTCACCTGGAGCTCTGTAGAAGCCCAGGTCGTCCTCACTGAGTGGTAGCAGGTAGACCTCCCCTTCCTTCCACAGCAGAGGGTACTCCTGTCCCCCAGAGAACTGTCCAGACCAGCCATCTGGGTCTGCAGAGGGGGGGACGATGACAGGATGATAACCACAATATAAGGGGTTCACAATTCACAAATAGTTATTAGGTGAATGCAGTTCTTTCAAGATAATCATGATTGGCTGAATACCTTCAAGGAAGTCAGAAGTGATGTTGACAGCTGCATGGTGATTGGAGGATCTGCAGGCCAATGAGTGTCCGAAGCAGAAACATGACATGCAGCCAGCTGGGTTGTTCTCCAGCAGGTTGAAGGAGCCTGGCTTGCACCTGCACAAACACACACACAACACATGCACAAAGCACATCGTCATGATATGCTTCGTCACTGCAGCTTGTTGAGGCTAATCTCTCCATATTGTGGAGCAAGCTCAGAGAGCATCACTAGGCCCTGTGAGTCAGGTCGTATGAGACTACCTGCCAAGTGAACATGTGTTGCTGTCTGCGCTGCAGTGTTGGGGCATAGGGAGGTAGCCGAGGCCAATCACCCCTCAGCTAGTCTCACACTGTGATACACTATCACAACCTCCAGACAGACCATAGAGGAGACAAGTTGTGTGTTGTGTTTGTGTGTGTAGAGGAGCGATGTGTGTGTGTGTGTGTTTGTGTGTGGGAGAGTGCATGAGGGGGATCTGTGTATGTGCGTGAGTGGTGTTCAGAAACAGGACTACGTAAGTCACATCAGGGGAAAAGGTGTGCTTGTTCAACGGAGCATGAAATAATACACAACACAACAAAATAAACAAGCTAGAAAACAAGCAGAAATAATTCAACACAGGAGATCGTCTCATGGCTGAGTGTTTTCCTAATATCAAACTAGTGATTTGTTTGTGTTTTGTCTGTCTGATCATGTAAATTTTAGAGAGCAGAACAATAATTATAAAAACATGGGTGTAGAGAAGATTGGGTACAGACAGAAAGTCTAAAATAATCATGTTCCCCTCAGTCCTTTCAGAAGCATTTTCACTAAAAGGGCCAGAGAATACACTATTTATTTGTTTATTTGTCAGGGACCATGTACAAAACGCCATTGCACCAGATTTAGCTAGATAGCTAATTTCCATCCTTAGTCCCTGGTTGATACTGTATGTGTCCTGACTGTCTATGAATAAAAGTCTACTAAAATACCATTTACACCGTGTATAATACTCTGGGAAAAATGTACTTGTCTTTTAGCATGAACCTGTTTTCAATGGGTTACCATGCTGACTCAAAACAGTTTGTCAAAGAGCGGTGCCATAAAATGTCAAGAGATATTTTGTTTAACAATGGCAGCGGGCGGAATCAAGGTACTGTACTACTGTACTAACAATATGAAGCAGAACCAAGTGTTAGCTACCATTGTTAACTGATGAAAGAGCTAGACAATACAAACTGTTACCATGGTAACCGTGAGGTATTATGTTATTTCGGGTGACGCAGTAGCATATCATGGGTCACCTGTCACATGGCTATTTTTCCTTTATCTTTTTTGAAGAAAGAAAAGCACAATATAAAAGCCACCTGTCACACGCCTGTCCCTCCACGTTTTCCTTGCAGTGACAGCCACCGTCCAGCGTAGAGCAGATGCCAACACTGCCCCTGGGTTCACAGTCACACGACCTGAGGAGAAACGATACCAATATCCTGTTGAGGTCAAAGTTCAGCCAGAGGTCAAACTGGTTATGACTGGGGCCATAATGTCATGGGACACTTAGGTTAAGACATAGATAAGAATGTCGGAATTGATATTTGGTTGAGCATTTGGTTGAGTGACTCTTTGTTTCAGTGTACACATTGCAGGGTGGCACGAAGCATAGCGGTTAAGCGCGTTGGGTCAGTAAACGGAAGGTTGTTGGTTAGAATCCCAGAGCTGACTAGGTGAAAAATCTGTCGATGTGCCCTTGAGCAAGGCACTTAACCCTAATTTGTCACACCCTGATCTGTTTCACCTGTCTTTGTGCTTGTCTCCACCTCACTCCAGGTGTCGCCCATCTTCCCCATTATCCCAAGGGCATTTATACCTGTGTTCTCTGTTTGTCTGTTGCCAGTTCGTCTTGTCTCGTCAAGCCTACCAGCATGTTTTTCATACTCCTGTTTTCTTGAGCCCTGTTTTCTAGTTTTCCCGTTTTTGATATTTCTGCCTGCCCTGACCCTGAGCCTGGCCCTGACCCTGAGCCTGCCTGCCTGCCGCTCTGTACCATACGGACTCTGCCCTGGACTACCGACCTCTACCTGCCCTTGACCTGTCCTTTGCCTGCCCCATGTTTATATAATAAACATCTGTTATCCGAACTGTCTGCATCTGGGTCTTTTCCTGAGCTGTGATATAATTAAGAGTGTCTGCTAAAATGTACACATTGTTTCCTTGATTAATTATGCTGATAAGGGTTGTTTAGTCTTCACTTACTCTTTTCCACACACATTCACACGCTGAAAATAGCCTGATCACCAACCGTGATTGGTTAAGTGAGGCCGCTGCTATGTCAATCAAAAGCTTTGTTCTACGAAAACATGTTTAATCATCTTCATTGATTGATTGTTTTCCTCCAGAACTCTAACACAGAATCAATATTTTAATGAGGTTGCTATTAAGAATAATTCAATTATCCCCTGGACAGGCTTCTACTCTGTTCTGCTCTACTGGACTGCATAATTCACACCTCACTTCACTTCAGAACACTGGTAGACTGAGGTAGGGATGGAGAGAGAGGAATGAGGGACAGGGATAGAGGGAGAAGGAGAGAAGTATAGAGAGGGATGGAGAGGGATGGAAGAATGGAAAAGGGAAGCAGAGAGTTTGTGTGTGCATGTCTGTGTGAGAGAGAAAAAGGAGAAATCATACCATGCCCACACACCTGTACATATCTGTGTGTCTCTCTATATTCTCAAGTGTATGTCTAGCGTCATTGAGTGTCTGTACTATAAACCAGTGTATCTGTGTACATAGCCATTGCTGTGATTCCGTACCTCAATGTGTTTGTCCTTCCTATCTCTCTTTCCAGTGTGAATGACTCAGCTAAACTCCTTGCCATTCAACAAGCACAGCACTTACACAAATGACTGATGATTGGCTAAGAGAAATTGATGATAAAAAGATTGTGGGGGCTGTTTTGTTAGACAGCGCGGCTTTTGACATTATCGATCATAGTCTGCTGCTGGAAAAACATATGTGTTATGGCTTTAGACCCCCTGCTATAGTGTGTATAAAGAGTTACTTGTCTAACAGAACACAGAGGGTGTTCTTTAACGAAAGCCTCTCAAACATAATCCAGATAGAATCAGGAATTCCCCCAGGGCAGCTGTCTAGGCCCCTTGCTTTTTTCCATCTTTACTAACGACATGCCACTGGCTTTGAGTATAGCCAGTGTGTCTATGTATGCGGATGACTCAACACTATACACATCAGCTACTACAGCAACTGAAATAACTGCAACACTTAACAAAGAGTTGCAGTTAGTTTCGGAATGGGTGGCAAGGAATAAGTTAGTCCTGAACATTTCCAAATCTAAAAGCATTGTATTTGGGTCAAATCATTCACTAAACCCTAAACCTCAACTACATCTCATAATGAATAATCTGGAAATTGAGCAAGTTGAGGAGACTAAACTGCTTGGAGTAACCCTGGATGTTAGACTGTCATGGTCAAAGCATATTGACACAACAGTAGCTAAGATGGGGAGAAGTATGTCCATACTTAAGCGCTGCTCTGCTTTCTTAACAACACTATCAACAACGCAGGTCCTACAGGCCCTAGTTTTGTCACACCTAGACTACTGTTCAGTAGCGTGGTCAGGTGCCACATTGTGATATTGTTGTATGGTGGTATTAAACATTTTGTATTGTAGATAGGTGGTTGTGTAATAATGTCATATGATGTACTGTTTTATATTTTGTTTTATATTTAATGTAAGTGCTTTAAAATGTTTGGACCCCAGGAAGAGTAGCTTCTGCCTTGGCAGCAGCTAATAGGGATCCCTAATAAATACAAATACAAATACCAGGTGGTGTCAAAGACTCTAGCCACTCTAGTCATAGACTGTTCTCTCCACTACCAGAGGGCAAGCGGTACCGGGGCGCCAAGTCTGGGACCAAAAGGCACCTTAACAGCTTCTATCCCCAAGCCATAAGACTGCTGAACAGTTAATCAAATGTCATCCCGGACAATTTATATTGACCCCCTTTATTATTTATTGCTTTATCTTAATTGTTTTGCACTGACTCCCTTGCACTGGCTCTATGCCCACTAACTAGACTCTCCCCATACACTTTAAAAAAATTAAATAATAATTTCACCTATATTTAACCAGGTAGGCCAGTTGAGAACAAGTTCTCATTTACAACTGCAACCTGGCCAAGATAAAGCAAAGCAGTGCGATAAAAACAACAACAACACAGAGTTACACATGGGATAAACAAAAACATACAGTCAATAACACAATAGAAAATCTATATACAGTGTGTGCAAATGTAGTAAGTTATGGAGATATGGCAAAAAATAGGCCATAGTGCAAAATAACTACAATTTAGTTTTAACACTGGAATGATAGATGTGCAGAAGATGATGTGCAAATAGAGACACTGGGGTCCAAATGAGCAAAATAAATAACAATATGGGGATGAGGTGGGCTAATTACAGATGGGCTGTGTACAGGTGCAGTGATCGGTAAGCTGCTCTGACAACTGATGCTTAAAGTTAGTGAGGGAGATAAGAGTCTCCAGCTTCAGAGATTTTTGCAGTTCGTTCCAGTCATTAGCAGCAGAGAACTGGAAGGAGTGGCGGCCAAAGGAGGTGTTGGCTTTGGGGATGACCAGTGAGATATACCTGATGGAGCGCATACTACGGGTACTAGTACGCATACAGTGAGGGAAAAAAGTATTTGTATGTTTGCCAACTGACAAAGACATGATCAGTCTATAATTTTAATGGTAGGTTTATTTGATTAGTGAGAGACAGAATAACAACAACAAAAATCAAGAAAAACGCATGTCAAAAATGTTATAAATTGATTTGCATTTTAATGAGGGAAATAAGTATTTGACCCCTCTGCAAAACACGACTTAGTACTTGGTGGCAAAACCATTGTTGGCAATCACAGAGGTCAGACGTTTCTTGTAGTTGGCCACCAGGTTTGCACACATCTTAGGAGGGATTTTGTTCCACTCCTCTTCTGCAGATCTTCTCCAAGTCATTAAGGTTTCGAGGCTGACGTTTGGCAGCTCGAACCTTCAGCTCCCACCACAGATTTTCTATGGGATTAAGGTCTGGAGACTGGCTAGGCCACTCCAGGACCTTAATGTGCTTCTTCTTGAGCCACTCCTTTGTTGCCTTGGCCGTGTGTTTTGGATCATTGTCATGCTGGAATACCATCCACGACCCATTTTCAATGCCCTGGCTGAGGGAAGGAGGTTCTCACCCAAGATTTGACGGTACATGGCCCCGTCCATCGTCCCTTTGATGCGGTGAAGTTTTCCTGTCCCCTTAGCAGAAAAACACCCCCAAAGCATAATGTTTCCACCTCCATGTTTGACGGTGGGGATGGTGTTCTTGGGGTCATAGTCAGCATTCCTCCTCCTCCAAACACGGCGAGTTGAGTTGATGCCAAAGAGATCGATTTTGGTCTCATCTGACCACAACACTTTCACCCAGTTCTCCTCTGAATCATTCAGATGTTCATTGGCAAACTTCAGACGGCCCTGTATATGTGCTTTCTTGAGCAGGGGGACCTTGCGGGCGCTGCAGGATTTCAGTCCTTCATGGCGTAGTGTGTTACCAATTGTTTTCTTGGTGACTATGGTCCCAGCTGCCTTGAGATCATTGACAAGATCCTCCCGTGTAGTTCTGGGCTGATTCCTCACCGTTCTCATGATCATTGCAACTCCACGAGATGAGATCTTGCATGGAGCCCCAGGCCGAGGGAGATTGACAGTTCTTTTGTGTTTCTTCCATTTGCGAAATATCGCACCAACTGTTGCCACCTTCTCACCAAGCTGCTTGGCGATGGTACTCCTCATATATAGCCTCATTATTGTTTTTATTGTGTTATTATTTCCTTTTTTATTTTGCAAATATTTGTCTTCGCTTTTTTAACTCTACATTGTTGGGAATGGGCTCGTAAGTCCAATTTGTAAGTCGCTCTGGATAAGAGCGTCTGCTAAATGATGTAAATGTAAATATAAATGTAAGTAAGCATTTCACTGTAAAGTCTACACCTGTTGTATTCGCCGCATGTGATCAATAAAATTGGATTTTGATTTGATTTAAGCATGGGCCATGCTGTGATATGAATATTTCCAGCACTTTGAGTCACCAGGCAATCCAGGAAATTGATTTGTGCCAAATATTAAGGTCCAACAGACAGAGGCTGGTGCATCATGCAGGAGGTACGGTAGGAACAATTTGGTGGTAAGAGAGGAGTAGAGACTGTTTACTGTATCAAGGCGATAGTAATGACATTGAAAACAATGGTATTACTAATAGTAGCAGGCAGCAGTAGTGATGAATTAGCACCAACAGCAGTAGAGTTGTTGCAAACTGGAATAGGCTCTAAACTTTGGTATTCTGTTCAGCTCCAACCCTGGTGTAAACCTCAACACTACTGAAACAGCCAAGGACAGGGTCAGTATGAATGTGCTTCATGGCTTAAACCACTGCAGCATGTCAAAGTAAATACACACACGATAGCCAATATATGTATTAAACATTAACACACAACCATTCAAGGTCGCGTTTAGGAGGGTGCAACGTACTAAACATGCAGATATAAATGTAATGAATAAAGCTGACATTATTTATTTTTTCTGCATGTCAGAGGCATGTCTATTCTACTCAATATATCTGAACGTTCCACATCCTTGTGGCCTACTGAACGTAGTCGTTGGGTAGAGGCATACAGACAGAAAAACAACAACATAATTCTCTTTAAATGCATTGGTTTACTCTCCCTCTGTCTTCAAAGTGTTTCTTTATTTTCTGTGTGTGTGGTATGTGAGTGTGTCTGTGGGTGTGTTGCGTACCTGCAGCCGCCAGGGCTGAGCGAGTGGAAGCCGGGTTGACAGGTGTCACACTTCTCCCCCGTCACACTGGGTCTGCACATACACATCCCCTCTGCACCACACTGCAGACTCACAGAACCTAAGACAGAGAGAGAGAGAGAGAGAGAGAGAGAGAGAGAGAGAGAGAGAGAGAGAGAGAGAGAGAGAGAGAGAGAGAGAGAGAGAGAGAGAGAGAGAGAGAGAGAGAGAGAGAGAGAGAGAGAGAGAGAGAGAGAGAGAGAGAGAGTGAATAAGTACAGAGGGGAGAGGTATACAATCAGTAGGGATTGAGAAGGAGAATGGGATTTGGTAATGCACAGCAGATGTGGGATCTTAACTGCCAGCGCCCACACTGTTGCTATTACAAAGCCATTGTGCTTTCTTAGTGGTCCCTAAGTGGAAGAGGTAGACTGCACACACCAGAGGAAGGACACATGATCATAGACCTAAGGAGCCTGGCCACAAACCACATTATTACCATGATGATAATGATGATGAGTGTATGTATGGGATATAATGCATTATCGACCTCCCGCACAACAAACTGCCATCATACATATTGAGTGCCATTAGAAAATTAACTTTTTCCACATTTTGTTGTGTTACAGCATGAATTTAAAATGGATTAAATTGAGAGTTTTTGTCACTGGCCTACACACAATACCCCATAATGTCTAAGTGGAATATTTACAAATTAAATAAAAATGAAAAGTTGAAATGTCTTGAGTCAATACGTATTCAACCCCTTTGCTATGGTAAGCCTAAATAAAATCAGGTGTAAACATGTGCTTAACAAGTCACATAATAAGTTGCATGGACTGTCTAGCAGTGCTTAATTTGTGCCGGATCTTTTTGGAATGTTTCATTCCGGGACCTGTTTGGCCAGATCCGATACCTCTCATGGGATGAAAAATGATTTTCACTTTTTGCAATTAAAAATTCTAATAAAAACGATCAAAGTTAATTGGAGATGCCTCTTCGTTAGTTATCCTAATTCCCCGCCTCCCAGCCCGGGTCTGATATTGTACGAGTTGATTCGGCTTGGACCGGCCCGGGCTTATGGTTTGAACAACATTGTAACCTATATTTGAGACAAAAGCATGTCTGTGTGAGAAGCACACCTGTGTTTCTCACAGAACTGGAACGAGATTCACTTTCTATGATCTCTCTCCATCTCTCTGCTCTGATAGACATGAACCTGCAACTCTCATCTCTCCAGCATTGCACTTCATCATTTATTCCTTATAGAATCATAGCCGTACGAAGAATTCTGGAGGAGCTGCAGCAGCCCTGATCAATTGAAATTTGCCAAAGTTATAGAGTTACTGCTGTCTGTTCAGAAATACGTTAAATAATTCAGAATAGCCTACTACACCATGAGAAAGCATATAACTTAGCCACAGAGGATCAACAGCTTCTTTCAAAAAATCTTTGCCTAGCTGTGGAGTGTAGCACAATAAAAAGGCGCAGTCCACAGTTGAGAAAGTGCGGCAAATCTGTCAGTGAAGAACAGCATGCAGACAAAACAGGCATTTTCTATACTTAAAATACAATCTCTGGAAAACAGGTTGGAAAGCAAATGGCTCCATCTGTAAAGAGAAGACTCTAATCTGAGAGGCTTTTGGCAACGCGCATCGGCCATCACCAGCGAGTGAGCTGCATGTCATTGGGTGAGTCAGTGAAACTGGAAAGCATTTTTAGGACTATAATTTCCTCCTCATATTGTAGCCTACAATATGTGTCTCCACACACCTAGGCCTAGGCTAGTGATGGATTCAAGACAAGGTTGTTTTTATTGATCTCAGATTCTCAGTTTGTCATTTTGATAATTTTTGCAGTATTATGGTGCTTTCATGACAACTGGAAACTCTGAGAAAATCGAGGTCGAATCATGATGTCAGTGATCTTCAGGTTTGAAAGTCGGAGCTTTAGAAAGAGGCCTGAGTTCCCGACTTGGAATTCCGAGTTGGATGACCGCTCAAAACTAATTTTCCCAGTCGGAGCTAGTTTTTTCCCCCGAGTTCCCAGTTGTCTTGAACGCACTGAAGTCGGAAGTCGGGGATTTCCCAGTTCCGAGTTCCCATGTTGTGAATGCGGCATTAAAAAAGATTATGCCAAAGTCTCCAGTCATGTAAAATTATGGACAATTGCATTAAATGCGTTTATAAAAGGCCACATGTTTCCCAGACCCTACGCCAATAAAACAGAGACATGGTTGTTGAAATCATTCATGTTCATTTCTGTGGCCTTCACCAAGTGAGTTCTTAGGTGGATATGATCATTATAATTGAACCATTACATATATCTTAAGGCCTTGAAACTTATGGCCTAAAGGCCACATCAGGCCTGCAAGTAGGGTTGCAAAATTACACAAACTTTCCCCACTTTTTCCCCCCAGTAATCTTCCAACCACGATTTCTGGAAAATCTGGGAAATTTCCCAGAATTTTGCAACCATAACTGTAAATCTAATTATGCTGCCTTGCAAAGCGACGTGTAATTCCTATTGGAATCTAGCCAGCGTTAGGTTATCCAACAGTTTAAATTTGTATTCACCCGCATCCTGCATTCATAATGACTGCCAGGGTTAAGAACAGTGGGAGGAAACTACCTAAGCCATTTAAACTGGAACAACCATTTCAGTAATGGGTGCAAAAATACAATGATTGGATTAGTTTAGAAAACTTTTTTTTTTATCTTTGTGTAGCATAACATTTAATCAATCAATCACTCAATGTATATGCAAAAACACAGATATTAACAACAATTCAAAAAAGTCTACCTGCAGTAGAGTATGCTGGGAAAAAAGTTCATATGTTTTCATATCTTTAAAAAATTAGTTGGTGTGACTTCTCATTTAGTTTTGAGTCAGCACCACATATACATTTTAAGTAATAATGACTTTTCATTGACTTTGAGTACAACTTACTAGAAGTATTTGAGTTAAAAATGCCTTGGGGTTTACAGTGCACCCTCTTGCGCTCACATTTTGCTCCGGCACCTCCCGATTTACAAATTAAGCACTGCTGTCTTGCTTTCATTTGGTGATTATTAGCGAGATGGATGGTCAAGATACTGAATGAATGTAGGTCCATTATCATTTCTACACAGTTTTGATTTGGTTTTGTCATTTTAACCCTGCTGTAGAATATAGAAACCACCAAGCTGGTGTGTCTCTAATGAACAGTTAGAATCATCATTGATTACATTCAATGGGTTCAGTTAGATTAAAGGGAGGCTGAATGACTGATTTAACCTCAGTTTCAATCCTCTTAATTAGGAAATGTGACTGTGTTAGCATATGAGAAGTGTTTGTACATTCACTCTGCCGAAACAGTACACAGTTACAGTCACTAACTCTTCTAGATAACTTGAAACAGTCTAACCTGGGCCCTTATCCACAAAGTGTCTCAGAGTAGAAAATTGGTCATACGTGCTTAGAATAAAATCATTTTACCCCTACTCTTATGGGTATAAATAAACACTATGCACAAACACTCTTAAGTCATAAGAGTCACACCTAGTCGACAGATATTTAGCACACCTCATGAGCGGTTCTAACCCGTTAACAGATACCAGCAGGTGTCTTGATAACAGAAATATGCAGCGAGTCAGTGGTTCATGCGCCATATGCAATTTCTTTGGAGTTGTTAAAATAATGTTTTGATATTTATATATGATCAATCCGTAAATAATCGAAATCTTTATTCAACAGTATCTCTTGTGCCTTGGACAATGATTTCACATGATATGCCTAAATACTTACAGTGGGGGAAAAAAATATTTAGTCAGCCACCAATTGTGCAAGTTCTCCCACTTAAAAAGATGAGAGAGGCCTGTAATTTCCATCATAGGTACACGTCAACTATGACAGCTGTCAAAGGACACCAGAAACAAAATTGTAGACCTGCACCAGGCTGTAGGTAATCAGCTTGGTTTGAAGAAATCAACTGTGGGAGCAATTATTAGGAAATGGAAGACATACAAGACCACTGATAATCTCCCTCGATCTGGGGCTCCACGCAAGATCTCACCCTGTGGGGTCAAAATGATCACAAGAACGGTGAGCAAAAATCCCAGATCCACATGGGGGGACCTAGTGAATGACCTGCAGAGAGCTGGGACCAAAGTAACAAAGCCTACCATCAGTAACACACTACGCCGCCAGGGACTCAAATCCTGCAGTGCCAGACGTGTCCCCCTGCTTAAGCCAGTACATGTCCAGGCCTGTCTGAAGTTTGCTAGAGTGCATTTGGATGATCCAGAAGAGGATTGGGAGAATGTCATATGGTCAGATGAAACCAAAATAGAACTTTTTGGTAAAAACTCAACTCGTCGTGTTTGGAGGACAAAGAATGCTGAGTTGCATCCAAAGAACACCATACCTACTGTGAAGCATGGGGGTGGGAACATCATGCTTTGGGGCTGTTTTTCTGCAAAGGGACCAGGACGACTGATCCGTGTAAAGGAAAGAATGAATGGGGACATGTATCGTGAGATTTTGAGTGAAAACCTCCTTCCATCAGCAAGGGCATTGAAGATGAAACGTGGCTGGGTATTTCAGCATGACAATGATCCCAAACACACCACCCGGGCATCAAAGGAGTGGCTTCATAAGAAGCATTTCAAGGTCCTGGAGTGGCCTAGCCAGTCTCCAGATCTCAACCCCATAGAAAATCTTTGGAGGGAGTTGAAAGTCCATGTTGCCCAGCGACAGCCCCAAAACATCACTGCTCTAGAGGAGATCTGCATGGAGGAATGGGCCAAAATACCAGCAACAGTGTGTGAAAACCTTGTGAAGACTTACAGAAAACGTTTGACCTGTGTCATTGCCAACAAAGGGTATATAACAAAGTATTGAGAAACTTTTGTTATTGACCAAATACTTATTTTCCAACATAATTTGCAAATAAATTCATAAAAAATCCTACATGTGATTTTCTGGATTGTTTTTCTCATTTTGTCAGTCATAGTTGACGTGTACCTATGATGAAAATTACAGGCCTCTCTCATCTTTTTAAGTGGGAGAACTTGCACAATTGGTGGCTGACTAAATACTTTTT